CAGACTTGTGCATTGGGGTGGAGTACGTTCCTTTTTCATGCCAGTACCCTGTTTATCTCCTTAGCGAAATCTAAATCCAAGTCTAAAGGCTGTGGCATATGGATTGCGAGTTGTGGCGACGATTTTGCCAGAAACCTGCTCATGTCACTGTATACAAGACTTCTTCATGTGCGGATAATGGATTGCTTGTCATTATCGGGGAAATTCATGCCGTGCCATACCAACCTCATCATCTTCCTCATTCCATTCCAAAGGCGCGACGATAACCAACTAGTTAAGATCCTTGCACACCGGCTGCGAAGAGCTGCGACAGTCAAAGCGATTGCAAAGCATCCTGAGGTCAGAGTGCATCGGCCCTTAGGTTTCATTTCTTGGCTCACTGCAACTGCAAGTGAAGCTTTTGCACATTTCCGTTGATACTGTATGCAGCAAACTGTGTCCGTCGCAGCGCTTGCCACGCAGTTCTTCGCGGTACACAGCTGTATATCTGACCGTGATCTGAAATGCCACGATTCTTGCCCGTGCAATCTCAAACCCTTAATCTTAATCGAAAGTCGCGATTAGACAATATTAATTTTCTTGTCTGTGACTGCTCATATATGAACTTAGGTAAATGGGGTTTATGAGCAGATAGTTTTTGCCATGAGTGTTTATCCACTACGTGAACCCTATTTACACTAACTCATAGCTCAAGTATGAGAATTTACATGTGACGAATATCATAGTTTTCGATCGTGTCTCTATTCAATAAAAGGCGCGAAATTGTCTTAAATGAACTGAATAACTATTGATTTAGCTACTCAGGGACCAGTACATCAGCCTCTTTGGATCGTATGACCTTGAGTTTATATAGAGCAGTTCACTGCACCATACAAAGCTTAAGCGTCCAACCACCTTCACTTATAAAGGTAATGAATTTATTCTTTTTTTTTTCTTCATAACTAGCAATTTCAACATAAAATCACACTGTAGAATAGAAGAATGACAATGGAGGTAATTTTGAAATAGTAGAAATGATGCAGAAACGGGAAACAAGAAAATAAAAGAAAGCACGAAATAGTTTCGAAAAAGACAAAGAAAAAGAAAAGGAAACAAAAAGGAATGAGTTGAAATGGCATCAATCACAGTTACCCCAATGTGGAATGCAATGTGCCCTATTTGGTGCAATGAGTCCCAACTAGTTGTTTTGTCTACAATTTCCTCTTCATTTTAAAGAGATTTTTAAAAAGTTCATTGTGAAGTGGTCGGTCGATAGAGACGATCCCTGAATCCATACAATTTTTATGTACAGTACATCCCATGATATATATCTCACTCATATCCAGCAGTGTGTAGTCTAAAGGGAGAAGATCTCATTAACCCCTTAACAGGATTAATGAGATCTTCTAACACTTTAACCGCCATGTCCCAAGTCGGCGTGTCAACATTGGTTATTTCTACTATGCTACGTTCTACCCTTCGGCAATTAACTCGTTGCAGAGAATACTGATTACGAATGAAAATGCTCACAAGTCTTGAATAGATTGTTTACGAATCTAAATTGATCGTGTTTACTGCTTTGGTTGGATCACATGGCGCCGACGTCACTTGCCAGATGGTCGCAATTACTTCTCTGACGGGGTAGGCGTGATCAAATGATCAATCCAGTGCAAAAGCCATGAACGAATAAATGTATTTATTTGAAACAAACGGTCTGGCGATGGTTTGCATAAAATTACTTAATCATATCTGCCAAATTAGTGGATTTTTCATTCATTCATTCAAAATGAAACTTCGATTTCATGGGCGCACATAATCCGAGTGACATTTTCTTATTTATGAGCGCTCTCGGAATTGGAATTGTGTAAGGAGGGGAGCTCCTTGGCGCTTTCCGGCTCACTTTGAACACTGATCAGCATAAATTTTAAGCAGTGCAACCATAGTTGAAAAATAGTGAAGACCTGAAAAATAATGTGTTGACTATAGCAGCCACTGTCAAACTTAGGGTGGATTTTTGAACAGAGAACTATCCGATAATGCAACTTTATTCCAGGGGAAATGCATGATATTTCCTGGAAATAAAGCAGCATTATCGGATTTTTCTCTGTTCAAAAATCCACCCTTAATATCTAAGAATTTGCACCAAAAAATTCACTTTGATGAAGGGTCAGATAGGTCAAAGATCTCAGATAGCCTTCCATCAAGTTCGTGTCTTCATAAGAGTGAAATCACTGAAGATGAGGGTTCTATCAAGTGGAATGATACATGTGCCGCATATTTTTCTTAACTTTGAATCCCATGCAGGTTTCCTTGCTCACAAGCGATGAAACCGTCAGTCGATCCAACACCGTGCCAGAACCATGGAAGGAAATGATTACAGATGGAAATCCGTTCCTTTTCTATTCATGTGTTGATTTTATTCACGGAGGGGATAGTGTTTTGTTGGACTCTTGATTTGGGTGGGGGCACTCACGGATGCAAGGAAAGGGTTGCCCCGCAGATATAGAAGTATAATGGGGTAGTGCTCTTCCGGGTCAGGGATTGTTAAAGGTGCAAAAAAAACGACAAGAGGCTTTTGAAACCGGAGCTGCTCTCAGACCCCCTAGGGATGATAGTTCCGGTTTCATCATTAAAAGGGTCTGCTATGCTATATATCCATGACATGGCTTAGCCTAGGGGAGGAGTGTAATCTCTAGGATCCCTCTTCTCAAGGCCTTGACTCCTGACCACCCTGGGATCACCTTCCCCCTCCCCCCCCCTCTCTCTCTCTCTCCCTCCCTCCTTTCCCCCATCTCCCCCCTCTCTTTTTCTTTCCTTCTTTCTCATAATCTCTCCTTTTCTCTTTTAATGAATGGGATGCCTGCATGCTAAATGTCATAATTGCCCCGTGTTTCTAGAACTTGCACGGTAGACATTTCATGGCATCTGCCTTATGATGCCCTCCAGGTTATGCTTATTCGAGGGGGAGGGAAGTGGCTTGTGGATGTAGCCGTGCTTTCAAGGGGGAAATGAAACCTTTGCCTGGGAAATCTGTTTTCGTTTCCCTTCCCATGAACTTCATTGAGTAAATGTCAAGTAGCTTTCAACATATGCGTTTCTTTTCCTCTCCCCTAGATCCAAGAGTACATTTGACTGGGTGGTGAAGGCGTTTGTTGCCTCTCGGCTTCTTACGACCTTCCAGGTCTTGCGAACTTTTAGAAGTGAGCAAATTCACTTTTTCGTCGAAATTATTCGGTTTGTTGACATTCAGTTCAATTTTGACTGGTTGATTTAACCGCGTTTTCGAGAACCTTTAGTGAGAATCTCAGTGAGTCTTCTTCATTCTTTGTACTCCAATGTTCATGTCATGAATGAAATGGAGGGAGAACCTGTCACTCCCTATGTCGAAAGCATCCTAACATGCTCGCACGAAAATGGTATCCATCATTCCATTAGGTTTCTGTAAAGGCATTACCCGATGGGGACTATTATTAGCCCCCATCTCCTTCCTTCGTGAACGATATCGTATGGGGGGGAGAGAGATCCAGTAGAGCACCGGCTTGCGAAGCTGCAGGACCGCTTGTACTGTAGCATGCGAAGGAAGTGTGGCCTATGTGTGCGAATCGGACATGAGTGAGGATCATCGGGGCCTTGGAGCTAAGTTTTCTTGCTGGCTTTGCCAATTTTTCGTATCTGACCCAGTTTACCTTGCCTGATATAGGAGAGAAAGGAGGGGAGGATCCCTAGCACACCTCTTATCAAAACGAAAACGATGGAAGAGAGCTTGTTCTCGAGCTGCTTTCCTTCCCCCCTTATTATCACCGACAAAAGCTCTCATCGCAGCAAGTTCTGAAGTTCCCACCTCTCCCTCTTGCCAAATTCCAAATCCTTTCCCGCCAAGTTCAGGCATGCTTTCAAATGATAGGAATACCGCCTTTCTCTATGCGAAGATGGGTATTTTTTTTACTGTACCAAATTAAGCTTTCCCCTTTTTTATATCTCATTGCCTTTCGTCAATGCTGGCAGGCTACGTTAAGAGTTTGTAGGCACCATGGTGCACACAATGTCCCTGTGGCAGTACCAGTACCAGCCTTGTCTTTATGCATTATTCATGCATTATCCATTCCTTGTCAAGGAATGCTCTCAACCCCATGAGATATCTGTACTACTTTCTCATGATATCGTTCATTCGTTCATACAGCTATTTACGGATTCCCGTCCTCGTACAGCCTCATTCTTCTCTCATTTTCATTTATTTATGCATACATTTTTTATATCCTTTACTTCTTAGATTTATTTTGTCATGTTTTGCTTTACTTTGTCTTTATTTGCATATCCTGCTTAATGACCAATTATTGAACTCTCCCATTCATGTCCAAAGGTTCCATTTGGATCCATTGATCTCAAGAATTTTTCTCTTGCCTATGAACTTATCTTCAATAAGGACTGTGTCAGCTTATCAAAGTACTGCAGGCTATCCAATGATTTGTTAACAGTGTGTCTCTTGTCTTCTTACTTCTAAAGCAGATCAAGGTGGTAAAACTTTGAGGATTTCAAAAATTTAAGGAGGAAGTAATCTTCAGACAGACATTTTTCTGCTTTTCCTTTTATATGTTTTTGTAAGTTAGATTACAGAAAGTATTTAATGCAACACAAGGATTTGCTTGGTAGTAGAACTAATGAAGTTACACAATTTTATTATATAATGTTTCAATTACAATTTTAATTTAATTTAAAATGTAAAAAAAGCATGTACTTGATTTCTTGGGCCTTGTTAAATCCTGAAGGCTAAAGAGAATGTTTTTCCCATGCCTAAAACATAATTCTGCCACGAATAGGTAAACCTCAGGGTAACCCAAGACACTATCTCCACAGTCCATAAAGTTCCAAGTTTTGATTTTTTCAAAAGATCTATTAATTCATTTAAAAATTGAAACTCATTTCTTATTGTTTTCATTCATCAGAGCCTCTATTTCATTTCAGTTTGATTGCATCATTTCATATGGTATTTTACTTTGTTTCTTTTCTTTTTCTCATAACAGATTCGTGTGCCCCTGAAGACAGCAGTGAGATCCCGGGACCTGGTGGTGGAGATTGGGAAGAAGCACCTCAAGCTGGGCCTCAAGGGACACCCACCAGTGATTGATGGGGAGCTGCATAAGGAGATCAAGGTGGAAGAGTGCACCTGGGTCCTTGAGGACACTCGCAACCTCCTTCTCACCCTGGAAAAGGTAGCTATTGTAAAAAATGTGAACATTTGCACTTGGACATGTGCAGATACCTTGACATCATTATGGCTACAAACCTATTTGGGTTAATGGAAAATTATTATTTCATTTTGAATTAAAAATTCAAATTTGGATATGAACTCTTGAAGGAAAAATTTTGTCACTTGTCAGGGATCATAAATATCAAACATAGATGTTTGTAAGTGAAAAAAAGGCAGGTTAGGCTTTGCCAACAAGCAACTTCTCTTGACCCCTTTCCCATATACAGAGTGATTGGAAAGTTGCTCCTTATTTAAAAAATGCATAACTTTTGTTGCAGTAGGATGGAAACTTCTTCTGGCAGCATTTTAAAGTAATTTTTATGGATTTTTTAAATACTAAAGGTGTTGCAATTGTATGATAAATCATGGTTCAGCAGTTGACAGTTAATGACCAAGTGGTTCAGGTTCAGAGGTGGTGGTGGAGTAAAAGTCATAAGTATGAAACACTTGAAACCAAGATTATTAAAAAATTTCCACAAGTTGATGACAATTTGTTCAATAAAAATTTGGACTGAAGTGGCCTTCAACAGCCTGAATTCCAGCAAAAATCACACAGGTGGAAGAAACATTTTCATGCAGTCCTGGAAAGCAATGATGCTGAAAATTTTGTTGAATTATAATTAGAGTATTAAAAAAATTCCATAAAAATGGCTTTCAAATGCTGCAAGAAAAAAGTATTTATCCTTTTTGGAACAAGTGTTACAAATAAAAAAAGTCACTTTTCAATCACCCTGTAGATCTAGAAGAGTGAGAGATTCTTGATTCTTCCTTTTTCAATTGCAGGCTGTGAGCTTAACTATGTCATTTGCAATACTTATATTCTGGATCAGGGGAATTTTTCATTTGACCATGGAGTAGGGTCAAAAATGCATATAACTTGCATATAAACTATTAAAATGCATATAACACATCTGCAGCATTGATTGGAGGCCCCTAAAGGTGTAAGTTGAACTTCAAGAGCACATGTGCTGTTAAATTACACAAAAATTTCCTCTCTTTAATTGAAAGTAACCCATGCCCTTCATTCCATGATGATGGACCCCATGCCTGTAAATCTATTCTGCTCATTTGCAGAATGCACCTCATCCTATTCCAGGAGGAAAAGAAATAAAATGACTCATCCATAAATAAATGTGGACATTCCTATGCATCTATAATTTATAATGTGTTTCAAGTTATGTCACGTTGTTATCTCCTTTCTTTTAACCCTTTCTGGTAAAATGATTTCTCCAGGAGACCACAATTTCAATTTTTTTTCATCTAATGTCATGATGGTCTCAAGACCATCTATTGATATATTGAGTAGTGGTGCCCTCTCTTAGGCAAGTTTTATTACCCTACTCTTGTATTTAGCACATTAACTGCCATATGACATATCAATGTGTCACATATGTCACATGGTGCCACAGGAAAGACCATTGTTTCACCCTATGGCTGTTAATATTCTAACATGTGAGTTTTTCAGGAAATTGAATTGCCCCAAAATTTAGATATGTGCCTGAATGGGTTGACTTTATTATGCTTCATTTCTTAATTATCTTGTCATTAAATATTTTGTGATTTTTTCATTGAGTCACTAATACTGGAGTAATTTCATTTGTATATTCATTCATCCACCTAATAATTCAATCATTTTCGCTGAATCTATTCATTTATTTCTCTAATGATCTTCAGAAATAGATGAGACTGCTCACCTATTGCACTGCAGCCAGGGATAGGATAGCAGATACACCCATTCAGTGTACTTAGTGATGCATACTGGGGGAGGTCTAAAAGAGAGGAAGCAAGTTGGGCGAAAACCCAGTGCAGCAGTGAGTTTCCTTTAATGGACAGTCATAGACAATCCAATCAAAACATATGGAATTGAAAAAAAATTAAGGGAGTAAGGAGAGGTGTTTCTTGCAGGTAATTTGTATTTGTGTTGGTGCATATCCTTATGCTAAAATAGCTAGATGTTGAAAACTTTATATTGATTGCTATTGCTTTATTTGTGGGTATGAGCTTGCTCTCTCTCTCTCTCTCTCTCACTCACTCAGTCTCTCTCATGCTGTCACTATTGTGAGTATAGAAATATTTTTACAAATGTGTGTTGCATCACCCTATACCAAAACCATTGGATAAAGACAGCTATAAATTGATGTGATTATTCCTACTGATAATTGGTATGAGCCTGCATTTTTAGTACCTTCTGCAGGACAATTATATTGAGTATTGCACCTTTATTTAAATGGATATTTCAGCTTATTGCATAGTGGGCTATTAGTTGGCATGAGTATTGCTTGAGATTGAGCTCAAGACTGCTTTTTATTACCTCCAAAGTTGTCACTATCTCTCATGCTACCATTTTTGGCAATTGTGTCATCTGACTTTGCAGATTGATTAGAAATGGAGGGCTTGAGTTGTTGTCTTAAATATTTATTAGGGTGGTATGTATTCATTTTCTGAGGATACAATACTTTCTGTTTGTCTAGCCACTATCTATATTTGATGCAGACTGGAGAAGGTTGAGAATATAATTTGATTGCTCTTGGTACAATGGTACTGGTGAAGCTATGGTCTTCAGCAATTTTTTTGCTGTTCTGTGTTTGACTAAAATGGCATGATTTGTACAATTTGATGACAGTATTTTGCAAATGGTAACCAAAATTTTTGTGGAACAAGCAGACATCTGGGGGATTAAATAATGAAAAGGAACCTCACATGTCTTTTGAGGCTGGAGGTGTGCTTATGAATAGGATATTGTGAATGTGGATCAGGTGAATAAGATGGAGTGGTGGAGCCAATTAGTGAAGACTGACCCAGAGATCAACACAAGGAAGATCAACCCAGAACCTTCGAAGCTGTCTGATCTGGATGGGGAGACACGAAGTATGGTGGAAAAGATGATGTATGATCAGCGGCAGAAGGAACTTGGCCTCCCCACCTCTGATGAAGAGAAGAAACAGGATATCCTTAAAAAGTAGACTATTTTTCTTATCAATTCTCATGGGGAAATGAAGATAGAAACCTAGAAACCATGCATTCAAGGGCCATCCCAAAAGTTCAAAAACAAAAGAAAGGAATATTTAGTCAGTAACACTGTAATTGTAGTAGATTTGAAAAACACTGTAATCTATTATGGCTAACAATGTCAACATTGAGTACATATTTTCATCCAATTTTGCACAAAACATTTGTCAGGCATGATTGTCTGAAATGTGATGTCAGTAGTAATTCCTTGAGTTTTTTTTAAATGGATGTGTGAGAGTGTGGAATTTAGATGTAGTGCTTGCTGAATTTGATATCAAGTGTGATGTTTGCAAAGTGACTAGATATATGATGACTTGACATGCAAAATATGCTACTGTGAAACATAGATCAAGTATTGAACTGTAGTCATTCACACCAGTGCAGAGTGGTACATTTTCTCCTTCTCCCTGGACAAATGCATATGCCTGGCGGCAAAAAAGAAAGTGTCTGTTTGACACTATACAACTGACTCTAGAAATGCTTAGTTCCTAATTTCTTTGTCTCACAAAGAAACATTTAAAAAGTTGATTCCGGAAATTTTAAAATTAAAATGTTTAGGTCTTTTTGGCATAAAGCAATAGTCATTCAATCTTTAGAAAGAAAACTCTGCCTTTCTGTAGGCTGGAGCTGTTTCAGCAATGCTAAAAAATGTTCTCCTATTTGGCACCTTAAAACCCTGTACCTTATGGTTATATACTTAGCATAGTGTTCTTGACTGTGCAGTGTCTTCAGGCCACAGCTGAAGAAGGAATGCCACAATGGTAAGATGATGTGTTTTGCATTAAGGGATGTGAAGAGGAATTGTCAGGACTTCCAATTAATTCATGGACTGTGGTCTGTGCAGCCCTTGTTTAAAAAATACACTGGATTAGAGAAACATTCCTCTTTTGTTCCCATAATGAGACTGCACAGTCAATTACATTGCAATAAGGATGCAGCCATGAAAATAGGCTTTTGGCAACAAATGAGACATATTATAGTGCACTGATGAAAGCAGTACAGTCTAACACCTGAAAAATCTTAAATTTTTAATGGAAATTTAAAATTGTGTTGCTCTTGATCCAAATATAGAGATCTTTTGAGGAAGAAACTTTAGAGCAGGGGTGCACAACATACGGCCTGCGGGCCGCATGTGGCCTGCAAGGTCCTTGCTTGTGGCTCGCCATGACTGATGGTGTTGTAAGTGCTACATCTCCTGCCCTGTTGGCTACAGTTATGGTCAGCCAGACTGCAGCCCCCAGTATGGGATTAAAAGTTGCAAGTGGCCCTCACAGTCTTTTGAGTTGTGCACCCCTGCTTTAGAGCATTTTCTCAATGACAAAAAAAAACTAAAAGCCCAGCATTTCCATAGTTGATTTTATAATGCATCAAACAGGAAGTGTTTCATTCATGCCTTTCAGTAAAATCTACATAGTGGCAACAAGATTCTTCACTTCTGGTAATGAGGGATACCATGATGAGGAAAATATGCTACTTCTGGCTTTTTTGCATAATTTTCATTTCATTTTTATCAGTTTCACTAAAATTTTTCCTATCTGGCACAAACCACTGATGTGGTGCTCTCCAGTCCAAGATTTGATCCATGTTTCATACCATCATATATACATACATACATACATTTTCTAAGCCGCTTTTCCCAATTTAATGGGAGTCACAGTTCAAGCATCCCCAGGAGCATCCTCCAGTAATCTTGATCCTGGGCAACAGACTCAAGCTCAGCTGGTGGAATGCCGAGCCTCTCGTGACAAAGCCAAGCGACGTAATCACTCCACCTTGTACGAGGTCTACTGACAGGTCTTTTGCTGATCATCTTGGCCTGGAAGACTCCTCTTGGGAGCCTCTCAGGGGGCATGTGGCAGACATGTCCAAACCATCTGGCCTGAGACCTCTTGATCCGGAGAAGCAGCTGCTTGACGTGGAGACTCTCGCGGATGGCAGAGTTCCGCATCCAATCACGGCGTGTTACGCCAGCTACTCGACGCAAGAACCTCGTTTCAGCAGCTTGTATCCACGATCTGGTGCTTTCAGTCATTACCCAAAGTTCATGACCATATGTGAGGGTGGGAAGATAAACACTCTTAAAAACTGAGAGTTTTGCTTCTCTAGAAACTTCTGATCTGGCAACCACTGTTCGCCAAAGTTCCTGCAGAACTGCAGAAGCCTTGGAGATGTGGTTGTCAATCTTGTTTCTGTGTTGCCCATCACTCGAGAACCAGACCCCAAGGTACTTTAACTTCTCCACCTGTTCCAGTGGGACCCCACTGACATGCAGGGTGCACTGAGCAGGATTTCTCGAGAGGACCATGACCTGTGTCTTGGAGACGCTCAGTTTCATTTTGGTCGCAGTGCATTCGGAGTTGAACCGATCAAGCACACTCTGGAGCTCCTGTCGAGAGTGGGTCAAAAGAACGGCATCGTTGGCAAAGAGAAGTATCCTTACCACGACGTCACCAATGTTGACCCCCTCCAGGCCAAGGCTGCGCCTACCGATCCTGTCCATGTACATGAGGAACAGGAAAGGTGAGAGGACACAGCCCTGCCAGAGTCCAGCACGTACCAAAAAACAATCCAAACTCCTCCTGCTCACTCGGACGCAGCTTCTGCACTCACTGTATAGGGACTGAACGGCCTGCAATAGCTGACCCATGATCCCATGCTCCTGCAGTACTCCCCACAGTTTTCCTTGGGGTACACAGTCGTAAGCTTTTTCAAGGTCCACAAAGCACATGTAGACATCTTTGGCATACTCCGAATGTCTCTCTCAGATCTGGTGGAGAGTGAACAGCTGGTCAGTGGTCCATCATATATTGTGTCAAATCTTCACATATCTTGTCCTTTTACAGCATCCCACTTGACATCACATTTCAGATACAATAACTATCACACTATCACACTTTACAATATTTTTTAGAAAAATAGATAATAATAATTTACTGTAGGAACAACTGACTGTAAAAGATTATGGGCTAATTTAGTTCTTCATTAATAGGTTATCATTGATTCACTTCCAATTAGGGATTTTCTCATTAGTTTTTATGCACATGTGCACCATTGGCAGCAAATGTGTTAAAAGGAATTCTCTGAGAAATCCTGAAGAGTATTAGAAATTCACTTGCTGAATTTACCTTGCCATTGGAATTGATTCATATATGGTCTATATTAAATTCTCTTATTACTAAATTCTAAGTCTGTTAAAGTAAGGTGAGTTATGTATTTATGCCAGGAGTAACACAGTACTGTAATGAGCAAGACAAGACTATGTGTACAATGACTGACACTTAACAGAAATAAAGTTACAAGAACTGTCAGATTACTTGAAACACATATGTCATGCATTCAAATGAAGTGCCTCCATAGTCAAGAAAGTTTTGAATCACTGACTTTTATTTTTTCCAATGAAAAGTCAGAGAAAGGCCATAAGAAATAGCAATGCAGAACAAGGACTCTGTTCTATGACTTTAAATAGCAAAATATATTACCTTCATCCATTTTCACATGATTTTGTCTATTGTATGTTCACCTCTGTACCACTGTGCAGTGGCTGGTGCGAGACCAGGAAAATCTCAGCAAAAAGGACAAGAGTGATAGAAGTGACACGAGTAGCTCAAGAATTTTGTGTTCTCATTATGGAATCCTTAGCAGCTGGAAATGCAGAATCTTGGTGCCACTCTGTATATTTTATTTTTTGTCTAGAGAAAATGGAAAAAAGCATCATTTTGCTTTTGGAAAAAAAAAAGCATTAAGAACTCTTGATATTATGTGGGATTATGGAATTTCAGCATTTTAGATTTTAGAAAATTACATGTTAACAAAAAGGCTCCAAAGTTTTAATGTCAATCTGAACCAAAGTCGAAATGGAGAAACTTAGGTGAAATGGGATGTGACAAATTAGAATTGCACTTCCAAGCATGATGAAAACATAAACTAGGCATCCAATGAAGAGCAGAAATGGTTGTTTATGAATTTTTGCTTCCTAAAAGTCAAATTGTGACTCCAATTTAATCATTTGGTTTTGCTGAGAAAGTTACTTGCAGTTTTTTGTTCTTTTCTTGAAACAGCCTGATTTTCCCAATCACCCTGCTTAGAGAAATGAACTTAGTAGAGAAATGAGTATAGTATGTATACTACTTTGCATGAAGTAAAGTTAATTGTATTCTTTTTTTTATTTTGTATTTTTTAACCCCTATAATACCAGAGTCGATTAGATTGACTCTGTGAATTTTGTTTAAAAGTGCCAGAATCGAAGAACTGACAATAAAAGTATTAAGAAATGTATTTTGCCAGAGCACTTAATTGTGTTTATCCTCTCACTTTAACCAATCTAGTGTCAGCTCTTTGACTCTGGTGCTAGAAGGGTTAAATTATAAGTGGAATTAGTAAACACCCAATTTTATGTTCCACTGAAGATTTGCATCGAATGTTCTTGCAGAAGGAAAATTTTCTTATGATCAGTCATAAAGTATGGCCTTATTTTTCAGGTTCATGGAGCAGCATCCGGAGATGGACTTCTCCAAGTGCAAGTTCACGTGATACACTCCTTCCTTCTCCTGTCTCATTGGTTCCATTGTTTTTGTCTTGGTTATATCTTGGCATGATAAGGCATGAATCTTTTTCTGCACATCCTGAATGAATGGCTTTGTCTTTTCTTAATATCTACTTTACTCATTTGGTTCTTGTTGGCCTGGTCCACCCAGCACTCAAGTAGAAGTTGCTGAGACCTGTCACACAGGTTTGCAAGGAGTCTTCATTAGTGGAAACTCACTTGTGACATAAATACAACAGAAATAAAAATAAACGGTGGATAGATTGATATTTGTAATGGCATTTTTAGTTTTGTTACTGAGATGCATTACACAGAGTCTGCCAAAAATGACAGATATATTTCAAAGTGATATAACTTCCTTATTTTAAATTCAATTCAGGTCTAGTTTTCTCTCCAGTAAAATTTGATTGCTTAAATTTTCATTATGACCAAAGAAAAAATGTAGACAATAGAGCAGCAAGTCAAAATATTCAAAATTGACTTGAATAGTAAGTCAGTGATGTTACTATTGTGTGAAAGTACCTAGATGCAAGTTTTTACTCCCATTGTTAATTTTTGACCCACAGGAAGTGTTCATGATGGGAAGAGTTGGGTCATCAAGGACTGCATATGCTCATGCAAATATTGAAGCCATGCAGTGTCTGGCACAATGTCAAAAAGGTATACCACCACCAGTCTCAGGGGCTGTATGATTTAGGGAAGGAATTAGAACCATCTTTTTTATTGCATCCAAGTGTGGTTGACTTCATGTAAAGTTCTTGAGACTAGCAGTGACATGATTTCTTTGGACTTTGTGGCCCAATTTCCTTTTACTTCCTGCCCCAAATGTGCTCACACTGCTTTTATGTTCTCATAAGTATGTGATGTTTTTTGTCTGCCTGAACTCTTCTCATCATAAAGACTTCCTGTCCATTGAATCTTATCAATCAAAGAGAGTAAAGCATTACTAATAGGCCTTTCACATTGTAGTAATGTCATTTGTTCACTTTCAAGATAAATTGCTATACTATTCAAAATTTTGCTTCTGCTACAGTCTTACCTCCAAGCAGTCAAGGGTCCATGCATTTGCTCCTGAAAAGAAAAGAATATCAGGTTAAAAATGTGGAAGTTATAGCACTTTAAAATGCATCTTTACTTTTAGCAAACCCTGTATTTTCCATGTTCCTCCATTTTTACCTGTTTCTGTAGTTTCCTTTTTGGTTTTGGTATTTAGATTTATACTTGATGTGGTTATGATGAACACCAGAGATGACTGAATCTAGATCACTATTCAATTCTAATTGAAAGTCATCAGTATTATTTGAGATGCACAATTGTGTTCAAGATTTGTCACCAAAAGGTGATGTTCATTTCCTGATTCAGTTCAAGCCATATGTGAATGATTTGAATGTGGTGTTGGAGATATGGATGTGAATGTACAATTCAAAATTGTCTTGAATCTGTTGACCTCTGTACTATACAGGTTGTCCATGAAGTCCTGATCTATTTTGTTGAAAAAATTATTAATTTCCTGTAAATTTTAGGTTTACTCAACAAAGCAGTTCTGCAATAGTAGAAAGTTGGACAGATAACTGAATAGCACACCATGCTGACAATGCCAGAGAGGACAGAACTTGTCACCCTTTGTCTGCACAGAGAGACACAAAGCAAAATTTATTTCGAAATTCCACAAACCAGGTTCACTAGATGCCAACATCTATCTGCTTGTCAACAAGTTCCACAGGACTGCCACAGGAGGTCCATAGCAGCTGAATGGAGAAAGAATGTGATCCATTAGATCTTCATTTTCCACATCTTCATGAAGGTCATTACGCACAGTGACCCATCCTGCATAGTCCCCTTCCAAGAGGTATATGACCTGATTGCATGCACATTTCTTGAAAGTAAACTGTAGGATCCTGTGCACCAATATTTGGGGCATTTTTAGAGTTGAGTTGATGCTTGTCTTGTGGACTTTCTTGGACTGTATTCAAAAGCATCCCTGATACACAATTGATTACAGGGATATGCACGGCCATTTGGAGCGTTCTTTGTCCACTAAAGACCCAGTCCTGTGAAATATGTCAACAGACAGACAGATGTGGGTGTCTGACAGACCATTTTTGCAGAATTTCTCTGCAAATGCTTTGTGGACCTTCTCTTGCATTTCTTTGCGCAAACAATGGGTGGCAACATTTATCCTCTTAGACACTGTCAGCATAATGTGTTATTCAGTTATCTGCCCACCATTCCATGATTGCAGAACTGAGGCCTTATTCCATTACTTGCTTAAGCAATATTTATTGCCTTAATCTGAGCCAACTTCTTAAGAATACCTCTAAGAATAACGCTTAAGTTCCTCACCATTTCTATTATCTTATGCTTAGCCCCTGCTCAAGACTACCATCAGAGAATCTGTAATTGAGGCTCCTCTGTATTTGCCTTAAATTCAGAAAGCACAATGTGGCCGATTTGAACACCAGGGAATTCATATCCTGGAGTTTCTCAGAAGAGAGAAAATAAATCTTACAAGGACAGAACTTCCCTTTAAGTAGCGATTCTGCTAAGTTTCTGACTTTAAAAATCAAACTTCATTGATATTTTATTTCAAGTTTAACACCCAATTATACTTCTTATTTTTTTAAGTCATCTTTTGCCAAAGCATTTTCTAGCCTAAATATTGCATACATAATGTTTATATGTTGAAAAGATTTCAGCATACAATTCAGCAATTAGCTATTGGGCATGATTGCAATATCGTTAGTAGGATGGACAAAAAGAACTAAGCCCTAGGGATGCACATTGCCCCTGTTTCAAAGAGAGAATGATTGATATTACAATATTGTAATTTGTAAACACACTGAAATTGATATAACATGAACTCCCATAATAAAGCTCTGAGGTTCGTTCCATTCCTCAAAACTGATTTTTTAAATCCCTCTGAGGACATAACACTCCATTTGACCTGCCTATATAGAAAAAGAGGAATTAATATTTTTCATGTCGTTGTTCATCACTTAGACTCGTATTTGTTTGAGGAATGCTCACGAACTGCACAAGAGTCTATTCTAAACTTGAGCTTTCTCACTACTCAATCTGCCCTGACTTGAAAGACTGATTTGAAGAAGTTGTGACAATCTATAATGACAATCAAATGTGGCCAACAAAATAAGACCTCTTAGGTGTTTCTCACAGAGATAAACCATTGTAACCAATGTCGATCCCAGCTAATTGTTGGGTGCGGAAGGAGTTTTCTTCTGTATGATTTCATCCATGGAGACAGTCACTGACAAAAATTTATCCAAAGGAAGCTTTTTCCTGATGTTTCCCTAGAACAGTCCTGGAAGCATCACTGGCCAGTATTGAAAGGAATGACATAAAGTAGGACATATTGTTCACATGACAATCTTAAGCACCTTGCTTTGTCTTGGTGCTAAGATGGAAATAGAATTCCGACTTGAGCAATCGCTTAGCTAAGACAAATTCTTTACATTTTTATATTTTCCTTGTCTTAAGTTGAGAAATAAATAGAATATGGCCCCTGCTCTGTTGAGTAAACCTGAAATTTAAAGGAAATTCATTTTATACCACTCAAGTAAATTGGGACATTATGGACACCCTGTACATTTAGCCTAATATGCTAAACCTGTCGTAAAGTATGGCAGAGCCAGGATTGCACTTGAGCCACTGTAGTCAACATGATGGCAGTCAGAAGGAGGAAATTGTTTATCAGATTAATTACATAGACATGAATGTTATTTACTAATCTTGACACAAACCTGTAACTTCCTCAACTTTTATTCCAGTTTATTTGTCTGCCACAGCTATTATTCTTGCCTTTCCATTATCATATCTCATAAGGTGAGACTTTAGTTTACTGCAAATGTTAGGATCTGTTTTTTCCATTCCAGTTCTAGCCCATCTGCTTATTCTTTCAGGAGCACAAAAATGGGGGTTCGTGTTGATTCCAGAGAATTTATTTCGATATACATACAGGGTGTCTCAAAAAAATGTATGCACACTTTGATGACCACTAATTCATACTTTTTTTCCAGAAAAAATTATTAATATAAACATGGGGGATGTACACTTGACGTTTGAGCAACGCAAATTAGTATTGAAGTGGTACTGGAAATTTGAGAATGTATGTGATCAAAAATGTAAAAAAATCATGTGGTTATCAAAGTGTGTACATTTTTTTGAGACACCCTGTATATTGAA